TTATTCAAGAGAGAGTCCTGGGGTTCAGCTCTCGGAGCCTTCTTTGCAGAAGTTAAAAAGCAGGCTGGAATCCCTCCTCCTAATGGCAGAGCCTTCTTCCAGCGGAAGAGGGAGTAAGGAGACTCATGCTGGGGAAGACTTCCCTGCAGACAGAGCAGTCCCAGCTGCTCCAGCCCTCATTGTGAGCTGCTCTTCTGGCTGATTCTGGGATAGGTGGGAATCCAAACTTGAACGACAGACTGTGCCTTGATATGATTGTTGATAGAGCCGAACAGAGCACAAGGTCTTTCCCCAGAAAGCTGTGCCAGAACTATGGCTTGCCCAAGGTCAACCAGCAGGTGCAAGTGGAGGAGTGTGGAGGAGTGGGGAATTAAACCCGGTTCTCCCAGATTAGAGTCCACGCACTTAACCACTACACCAAACTGAGTCACACACACACCCAGCACAAGAAGAAGCCAGTGCCAAGAAATACGGATTCACCCCAGCTTGGATTCACCCCAGTCCAGGGTCCCACTCATAAGATTCACACCTAGAGCCACAAAGCTGAGAAGACTGAAGTGATAAAAGGAAGATGGACAGAGGAGTGCAGAAAGACTATAAATTTTCTAGGCACAAAAGAAATTCTTACTCTTCTGTTGTGCCTTGCTTTTAACTGGGGAGCAGGACTCCATTCTTGTCTCGGTGTCAAGGGACAACTGGGGGAAAGTCCCATCCAGGAGAACTAAAGTAGTGCTGAACTTGTCTAAGAGCTGCAACTTCAAGTTTTATTAGCTTGTCCAAGCAACAATTTCACTAAAATAAGTAGAAAGGTGAGAAGATGTGTGTTTTCACCTTTTCTTTGTATCCTTGCTCAGCCTGATACTTGAACAGACCATGTGTATTCTTTTTATCCAGTTATTAAATTTTGAATTTATATTTTGGATGTACCATCTCTGGAAACATATCTGCCTGTTTGATCTTGCTATTTGAAGTGTGGTAACAGGGAGGAGCAGCAGATAAGACCACCATCCCTGAAGTATGAAGGCTCCAAACTACAAAGCAGCAATAGATCTCCCTCGCCAGTTTGGTGTAGTGGTTCAGTGCGCGGACTCTAATCTGGGAGAACCAGGTTTGATTCCCCACTCCTCCTCCACTTGCACCTGCTGGATGACCTTGGGCAAGCCATAGTTCTGGCACAGCTGTTCTTGAAAAAGAGCCGTTTCTGTCAGAGCTCTTTCAGCCCTGCCTACCTCACAGGCTGTCCGTTGTGGGGAGGGGGGGGGAAAGCAGTTTGTAAGCCGCTCTGAGACTCCTTTGGGTTGTGAAGGGTGGGGTATAAATCCGATATCTTCTTCTTGTTGTACTAGCTTTTAGGAGTGAAGCAGGAGGTGTAGCAGCTAGGTGGAACCTCAGAATAGCAACACATATGCGGAGTGCTTCATCTACAACTCTGTTTAGCGGGAGATAGTTACTGGTGTCAGCAGTTGTTACCCAGTTTGTTTTTAATAACTCTGGGGAGCTATAGAAAGGGCCAATGTCACTGAGTGGAGACTTAGGACAGCCCCAAATGTTCTTACCTCCCGGTGATCAATCCGAAGGAACAAGGAGGGCTTGTGAGTCCATCCCTTCTCATAATCCAATATGTGTTTCTAGGCCAGTGATACTCATTTAGTGGTTCCTGTGCCTCTTCTGTTCCCCATGTTCCAGGAAAGTGGGCAATACCCATTCAGGGGAGAGGAAGTGGGATATAAATTCGATAAATAAGTACAGACGTAGTGTGCTGGAAGACCTTGGTGGAATATTGGCATTTACAAACATGTGCTGGAGCATCTGGAGAGTTCAGGCAGCTGCCTTGCAGGGCCGGAACATCATTATTGATGGTGCTCCCTAGTGGGTGTCTCAAGCAAGGGACACCCTTGAAAGCATTGCAGCTGAAAGCTCCCCAAAATGATAGCAACTTGCTCAGTTGGTCTTTAACTTACCTGGAAAGTTATAGGGCCAGGATGGCCAGGATGGCCAGGATCAAACTAAGCCAAAGTCTCATAGCTTTGGCCTGCAGCAGCAGTGGCCCTAGACTTCCCTGTTGTCTCTTTCTGAATGTAAACTTGTCTTCATGCGGGCTTTTGTTGGTGGAAAGGTCTTGTGTGGTTTAAACTTTTGGTTGGCGTGTAATTTAGAGCCAATTTGATGTAGTGGTTAGGTGCGTGGACTCTAATCTGGGAGAACCGGGTTTGATTCCCCATTCCTCCTCCACTTGCACCTGCTGGATGACCTTGGGCAAGCCATAGTTCTGACACAGCTGTTCTTGAAAAAGAGCAGTCCTCAAAAGAGCTCTCTCAGCCCCGCCGACCTCACAGGGTGTCCGTTGCGGGGAAGGGAATGGAAAGGAGACTGTGAGCCGCTCTGAGACTCCTCTGGGTAGTGAAGGGCTGGGTATGAATCCAATCTCTCCTCTTCTTCTTAGGTGGGTGCTTAATATGTTGATGTTTTCCCTCCTGAAGGCAGTGAAGCTCCCATGGTCCTTGACTTTCGTCTAGCTAAGCCTGCAGCTGTTGCCTGAGGCAGCTTGGCAAGGGCTATTAGAGGCTAGAGGGCTTTGGGTTCTGTCTGGGTCTTGTGCCAAACACAGGCTGTGCCAGCCATTGCCTAGCATATGTGGCTGTTGCTGCTGAATCCCTGCCACTGGCAGCCTTTCAGAGGTGCCAGGCTAAATAGGAGCCAGTCCTGGGTGGTCAGCAAGCTCCCCTCATTCCTTTTTCTGCTTATGGGTGGTCCCAAATGTCACTGTGTCTCTTTAGAGCTCGCAGACTTAATTTTCGTGCAGCAATCTGGTCTGGTTTGGTTCCCACCTAGTATTGGTATCAGCTGTGTTTGTGCTCCCAGCATATGGAATTGTCTTGACAGGAAGATGACTCAGTGGCAAAGCTTTTTTTCTTGCCCTGAAAAAAAGGAAAATCCGGGTTGTAAAAAAAGAGAGAGAGGGAGTTCATTTCTCTCGTATCGCTCTGCCAGATTGAAAATATTTTCTTTCTCTTTCTCTCCTGTAGACACCATTATATTTGGACAATAAAATTCCTGCCCCGTGAGCCAGAAAAGTAATGACATCTTGCTCAGTAAAACGGCTGCCTGTTTCGTTTTTCGTGCCAAGGGGCTGGAATCCTGCTCCTGCCGGACAGTTTCTGGTCTTCAGGCAAATCTAATTTCAGTGGGGCAAGCCTTGGAGAGGCCGGGGAGGAGTGGAGATTGATAGGTTATTTATTAACTGTCTTAAGCAAAGCCGTTCCGTTTTTTTAAAGAATAGTTAAACATATCCCCAAAGGCTCGCAGAGTTTGAAGGTCTTTGGCTGGAGCACTCCAGAGAAGAGTCCCTAGAGGAGAGCCAGAGGCCCGGTGTTCAGATTTTGCAAGTGAACTCTGGCTTCTTCTGAGAGCCAGTTTGGTGTAGTGGTTAAAGTGCGCGGACTCTCATCTGGGAGAACCGGGTTTGATTCCCCACTCCTCCTCCCCTTGCACCTGGCTAGATGACCTTGGGCAAGCCGTAGTTCTGATAAGAGCTGTCCTTGAAAAAGAGCCGTTTCTGTCAAGAGCTCTCTCAGCCCCGCCTACCTCCCAGGGTGTCTGTCTGTTGTGGGGAGGGGGAGGGAAACGGAGTTTGTAAGCCGCTCTGAGACTCCCTTGGGTATGAAGGGCCATGGGGTATAAATCCAATCTCTTCTCTTCTTCTTCTCTTCTTCTTGGGAAGGATCATCCTGGCTCATCCTGGAGTTCATATCCCCCCCCTTTTTCTCTTCATGCAAACAGCAGAGGTTGGAAAGTTGCTTGGAAGAAGCTGTACTTTGTTGTGACGTTCAAATTGGGGCACTTCAACATGTCGTGGCTTCTCCTAGGAAGAAGCAGTCTGGATCTGAGTAAACGACCGCACAGCTGCAACTGCTGTGTTGGATTCAGCATATGCTGTGTTGCCCAAGAATTTGGGGGTCACGTGCGTGGCTTGCTTTTTTTTAAAAAAAATAATTAATTACATTTTTTATTTGTATTGATGTCTTACATTTCATATCCATTCATAATCCTTTCATCAAGTTTGCATAACCAAACATCAAATACATCAATTTTCCCCTTTATTATTCCCTCCCCCCCTTTCACGAGCGACCAGAAGAACCATATTATTATATCTGTAACCATAGAGTTTTATCAATACATCGTTATTAGTTCGAAAGCAAGAAATTGCAAGTAGATAAATAGGTACCACTTCGGTGGGAAGGTACCTTGGTGTTTAGTCATGCCGGCCGCATGACCACGGAATCATCTTCGGACAGTGCTGGCTCTTCAGCTTTGAAACAGAGATGAGCACCGCAACCCTAGAGTCGGACTCGACTTGCTTTCGAGCAAGGGAAACCTTTACCTTTACCTTTTCTCTTACCCATCTTATATACCCAAACCATTTCTTCCCTATCTCCAACCCTTTGTCTTTCCATGTCTTATCCTATTTTATTATCAATGAAATATCTGACTAAATCAATTCATGTAAGTACCTGTTCCGTCTTTCCAAAGTCCATTTTAAGGCATCTTTCCATCCATACGCTATTACCGCATGAGTCGCTAGGATCATAGCTTTAAGTAAATCGTTTTTGGATTTATCTACTTTATTATTTCCCACTTGCGTGGCTTGCTAAACTTGTCATTGGGGAGCCACGTAGGTGGAAACCTTTACATGCCCCCCCCCCCCATGGCAACCAAGGCGGCAGTATGACAACAGTTCCAGTTCAGGTGCATGTCAGAGGGATTCAGAAGCCTCCAGTTGGGTGATAGTGGTCACAGCAACACGTGTGTGCCTGCACCCCCCCACACACACACACACGGCAGTTCGTGTCCAGTGGCCATGTCAGCTGCCAGTGAAGCCACCCAGCTCTGCCCCTTGCTTCTAGCCCCTGGGTGCCCAGGCCTGTGGCGGTGGGTGGGGTGGCCTGTGGCCAGAGCCTTCCCCGCAGCTTGCTGACAGGGTGCTGTTGCTGTTGTTGCAGAGCGGGAGCAGCTTCCACGTCTTCGACCAAGGCCAGTTTGCCAAGGAGGTGCTTCCAAAGTACTTCAAGCATAACAACATGGCCAGCTTCGTTCGGCAGCTCAACATGTGTAAGTACATTCTTTGCCAAGGGGGGCGGGGGGGCGGGGATGTGTGTTCCTAACAAGCCTCTGTACTTTCCCCCTCAGAAGTCACTGATGGGGTGGCACGGGGTGCAGCCAGGGCAGGATGGGGCAAGCAGGTGTCCTGTGCCTGCCGGGACTTCTCTTTGTCCTCATCTCCTTTAGACAGCACGGACATGCCCCCAGGACAGCAGCTGAGCAGCAGGCGTGGAGCCCGGCTCATGCCCCTACTCAACCAGGAGAGCTGCCTGCTGCTTTGGGCTTTGGGGAAATGGTGGCTGAAGCTAAGCGAGCGCTAGACGGTCTCCGAGAGGAGAGGAGTTTAAAGCTTGGGTGGGGGGAAGCTCTTATGTGCTGTGAAATGCAGACTCGCTGCTCCGCCCCAGCCCCACACGCGTGCAGACGCTTCGGGTGCTGAGGTGTTCTGCTTTCCCCCTCTTTCAGACGGTTTCCGAAAGGTGATCCACATTGAGCAGGGTGGTCTGGTGAAGCCGGAGAAGGACGACACTGAATTCCAGCATCCCTATTTCATCCGCGGCCAGGAGCATCTCCTGGAGAACATCAAGCGGAAAGTAACAAACGTAAGTCTGGCGGGATCCTGTCTGGCTCCAGTTGAAAGGCACTCGCTTGGGGGGTGGGTTGCGGGGGGAGTGGGGGACTCTGTGCGGTCTGCTTCCTCCTGGGTGCCGGAGAGAGATTCTGCCTTTGCCTTCCCAGCAGCCTCCTGGTGGCTGGGCGGCGGCTGAGCACACCCTGTGCCAGAAGGACGATGGCAGGGAGAGCGCAGAGGAGCAGGAGAGCAGGATTTCTTCCTGTTGCAGGGGCACTGTCTCGGTTGAGGGTTATGCCAACTGTTTTATTGAAAAGGTGACTTTGAGAGGTGGGAGGGACCAGAAAGGAGGGGGGGCATCGCGCAGGTGCTGAGGAGGCAGTTGCAGGGGTAGGGGACAGGAAGGGAGTCAAGGCAGAGCAGGGGACTGTCTGTGACCTGAGGGGGATGGATTGGGAGGAGCAGAGGTCACCCGCGGGTGTGCAGCAGCCACCATGTGAGAACACAGAGGGGTAAGGAGGCAAGGCCATGGGTGGCTCTGAAGGCCGGAGGGAAGAGCTTGTGCCGCGTCCAGGAGGGCATGGAGGTCAGTATTGGGAGGAGTAAGGTACGTGGGGAATACACTTGTCAGCAAGTGCCGGATATAGGTGAGGGAGCCAAATGGTGCCAGTGGGTGGCCAGAGAGTGCGAGGGGGCCAAGTTCAGGGCACATGAAGGTGCCTCCCGTGGAGTAGACGTGTGGTCCTGTCGCAGTCAGCCTTCTCTCCTCTGACTGGCAGCGGCCCTTCAAGGCCCCTCGGGCAGAGAGGCATCTTCCCCACCACCCGCTGCCCAGTCCTTTTGGCTCCAGGCTCCGTGCACAGCAGCCACACGGGCCTTGGCCAGTGTCGTCTTCTTCCCCGGGGGGCGGGGAAAGAGGGAAGGTCCACGTTTTTGCAGAGCTGTGAAGTAACAAGATTTGGAAACAGACCAGACGTGGGGAGTGAAGGGAAGAGATGGCAAAGCAAAGACGTGGTGCTTTTTCTGCAGGCGGGACTGTGACGTTTTGCACTTCTCACGTCTGTCGACAAGGAAAGGAAGTCTGGGGTTGTGGTTGGGGAGGGGGGGAGGTGAAAAGTTCCCCTTTTGAATTTGTTGAATTTGAGACAGTGGGGGTATATCCAGGTGGAAATTTGATGAGGGTTAGGGTGTGTATAACAACACCGCAGAAATATTTTTTGAAAACTAGATCCCTGCTCTGCCATGGAGCTTATTGGGTGACCTTGAGCCTGTCACTGTTGCTCAGCCTCACAGGGAGGTTGTGGGGGCAGACTGGGAGTGGGAGAACTATGCAGCCCCCCCCCCCCCCCAGCACTTGGAGAAAGGGCAGGGTGGTAATGTATAAGTAAGGAAGAAAATCCAGAGGCGAATGGCACTGGGTTCACGCGTTCCGCATGATGGTGTCCCTGAGAGCCCGATGTCTGAGGTTGTCCCAAGAGTGTGCAGAGAGAGAGAACAGGAGAGGTCCAAGAACAGGTCGCCAGCAGAGGGGGGAGCAGAGAGGAGCTCCGGCAACCCTGGGCAAGGTCACAGGAGGTGACCGGTCTGCTCCTTCCTTTCAGGTCTCTGGCATAAAGAACGAGGACATCCGCGTTCGCCAGGACAGTGTCACCAAGCTGCTGACGGACGTCCAGGTGATGAAAGGCAAGCAGGAGAGCATGGACTCCAAGCTAGTAGCCATGAAGCAGTACGTATGCACGACGGGCGAGCCCCGGGAGTTCTGTTGGTGCCTTTGCGGGGGAGGCTCTGTGTGTGTGTTTGTGTATGTGTGCCAAGTCTCCTTTGTTTGTGCTGTCTTCTCACGCCCTCTGCTGGCAGGGACTGGGCAGCCCAGGGATTACTGCAGGACTCGGAACTGTGGTTTAGCAGCCTTCCAGTTTGGTGTAGTGGTTAAATGCACAGACTCTAATCTGGGAGAACCGGGTTTGGTTCCACACTCCTCCGTGTGCACCTGCTGGATGACTTTGGGCAAGCCGTAGTTCTGGCACAGCTGTTCTTGAAAAAAAAGCCATTTCTGTCAGAGCTCTCCCCGCCCCGCCTCCCTCACTGGGTGTCTGTTGTGGGGAGGGGAAGGGAAAGGAGTTTGTAAGCCGCTCTGAGACTCCCTTGGGTAGTGAAAGGCCATGGGGTATACATCCAATCTCCTCCTCCTCCTCTTCCTCCTTCTCCTGCTGCTGCTGCTGCCAGGTTCCAGGAGACTCCTGGCTTTGTTTTGAGTTATCTGATCGGTCTAGTTGGCGCGCAAATAGCTTTCCGTGCCCCTCTTTGTTGCCGCTAGCCAGTGGCACATCTTCGCTGTTGGAATTGCTCTGTCATATTTTGTAATCCACCTTGAGTCTTGGTAAGGAAAGGTGGGCTGTAAATGACACCGACTAGTAATTAAGTCAGCTGACATAATTATAAATACATTGATGTAGCTGGAGCATTATTTAGCAGCTTGCAGGTTAAACAGGCCCCGTCTGCCAGTGTAGGTGAGCCAAGATTTGTGGGGCAGAGAGGTGGGATTCTGTGGGGTGAGGCAGCTCTTCCCCGCTTCCTTTCTCAGCTTGCAGTGGGGTTGGGGGAGCAGGTCCCCGTCTGCTGCTCTTGCTAGGGAAGCCCTCTGAATGAAGCACAGCAGGTGCAGAGCCTGACAGCATCTTCCCGGTCCGCACCGGGGCGGGTCTTGCTCTTCCGTTGGCCATCAAGGTGCTTGAAGTAAGACCGTCAGGAGGGCACTGCTGGGTAGGCACAATTTATTATGTATTTATTTTATTAGATTTTTACCCCAGCCTAGACCGGCTCAGGGCAGCTTACAACAGTGTAAAATTCAAACAGTACAGTACATAAAATCACATAAATTAATATACATACAATGCTAAAAACTCAAACATAGTCAAGTGCTAGCAATATCCTCAGTTTATGGTCAGCTGTTCGGTCTTCTTTGGCTATCTCAGGTGATTGGCACGGGCAGTATTTAAGGGACCAGTGGGTCACGGTTCAGCCAACATGGCTATTAATTGTTGGTGGTGGAGTATTAGGTGGTGGCAGCTCCAAAGGCCTGGTGGAAGGGGAGGTCCATCTGGTCTTCGGGGCATAAGCGCGGTGCCCTGCTGGACTGATCCCCTGGTCCCTCTAGTCCAGCATCATGTTTCACAGGTTGGACAACAAATGGCGTTGAGGCCACTGACTTACCAGTGACCCTCTAACTGACCTGCTCAGAGTCTCCTCCAAGAGCCCCCGTCACAGATGGCTACCGAGGCTGAAGCTGCAGCTGAGCCTTGCTCTGCAGCTGCTGCTGCTGCATGAACTCCTTCCGGCTCGCCAGGGTTTGTCCTGCCCAGGTAGAAGAAGAAGAGATTGGATTTATACCCCGCCCTTCACAACCCAAAGGAGTCTCAGAGCGGCTTACAAAGGCCCCACAACAGACACCCTGGGAGGTAGGCGGGGCTGAGAGAGCTCTGACGGAAACTGCTCTTTTTCAAGGACAGCTCTTATCAGAACTATAGCTGGCCCAAGGTCATCCAGCAGGTGCAAGGGGAGGAGGAGTGGGGAATCGAACCCGGTTCTCCCAGATTAGAGTCCATGCACTTAACCACGACACTACTCGCCATCATCTTGGCAGCCACCATCCTCGTGGCTTCCGTCAGGCCTGGCCATAGCCAGAGAGGTGCCTCCAGGGTGGCCAGGCGTATGGGAAGGGAGGTGATCCCTCAGTGTCCTGTTTCCCACAGTGGCCAGGCAGGTGCCTATGAAGGGTCTGCAAGTGGAGCCCAGAGCTACCCGCAGTTGCCCCAGAAACTGGTAGGTGGAGGAGTGATGGTCCCCTTACCTGTCTCTTTGTTTTCCCCTGGGTGTCAGGTTCTGCAGCCAGTAAATCTCCACACACATTTCCAAGGAAGCGTTATGCTTTATTAGGTTACAAAACTGGTACCCTACCCACAGGATTGTTGTTAGGAATAACCAAGGGGCGGAAACATCCCTACATATAGCAGGATGAGGCAAATGGCTAAGCAAATGATATTCGAGCGTGCGCGGGAATTCTCCCGGCTGGAGGATATGTAATAAGCGGGAGAGTCTCAGTGCCTCATGAGAGCCAAAAGATTCACACCAGCGGTGGAACGCAAGCCCTCCCCCCTTCACAAGGCCAGGCAGATAACATAGTCTGGCAGCACTGGTTCTCACGGTCTCCCTATCGCTGTTTACGGCAAGCGGCAGAGCAGCGAGCAAGCCAGGATCAGAGAAGGGAACAAGCAAAACATGGCAGCTAGCTGACACCTGATGGCTACCGGTGGGCTTAAAACTTGTCTAATTCTTCAGCCCGCCCGCTCTCCGTTTGAAGCCACCTGAGCGAATGGCCCTCCTGCTCCTCTGGCAGCGAGTTCTGCGACCGCATTAATCAGATCGCTGGAAGGAGAGTGGCCTTTTAGATACCGCTGTCCTTGCATAGCAAGCTCAGGGCGGCTTACAGTGGTTAGAATACGCTAAACCACAGATGCATTGAGACAATGCAATAAGATAGTATTCAAAAAGAAATGGCAATCATAAATACATATAAAAACAGATAAAGTACTGATGGCGGTAGCTCCCATAAGGTCATAATACACTGGCTGTTATTGTTTCGGTTAACAAAAGGTTAACAAAGAGGGCCTTAACAGTTCAGATGTTAGCTGTTCAGATGTTAACAGTATGTAATCAGTGGCGGCTCCTAATCGAAAGCCTGGTGGAAGAGCTCCGATTTGCAGGCCCTGCGGAACTGTAAGAGGTCCCACAGGGCCCTGATGTCTTCCGGGAGCTCATTCCAACAGTGTGGAGCCACCACTGAGAAGGCCCTGGCCCTGGTAGAGGCCAATCTGGCGTCTTTCAGAATGGGGGGAGAGGGGATGTCTGGGCTTACTGTTTCAGCTGTGGACCCAAAGGAGCTGGAGGAGGAAGCCTCGTTGGCCCCAAAGCCCTCTTGTGGCTTTAGTGAGAGGGAGCCAGGCACCCGGGGGCTGGTGGCGGGCAGCTTGTCTTTGAGCTCAGTCCTGTGCAAGAGGGAGGGACTCCCAGGGAGAGGCCTGCTGCTGGCTGGCGGGCTGGGGCAGGAGAGGAGCAGCTGGCCTGAGCCAAGGGTTGCAGATCTCTACCCCCAGAATAAATAGTCAGATCTGAGTCCAGCCAGAGTTTTGGGGCATAGTCTTTCGAGAGTCCAAAGCTCCCGTGTTCAGAGGCCCCGGACTGTCGAAAGCGTGTGCCCTGAAAATCTTGTTGGCCTCTAAGGCGCTCCTGGATTTGGATCTGATTGTCTGGACCAGCGCAGCTGCCCTCTGAGTCGACCCCAGAATAGCTTTTCTACAGCACGGGGGGGGGGGGGGAGATATGCAGGCGAAAGCCTCTTGAGCACATGCAGAAAGCGCCTTCCCTTCCTACCTGCCTCATCTTCTGAGGGTTAAAGGGGAGCTTTTCTGGTGGATCCTCAGGCGGGCTTGGCTCCCGGCTCGTTCTTTAGATGCCAAGTGCTGCGGTCAGCTGTGCGGAGTGGCTCATATCAGTGGGTGTTCAGAGGGAGGGCCAAGTGTGTGAGTCCCCCTCTTCCTGGAAGGTGCGTCAGTGACCTCCGGCAGTCACCCATTCCTGTTTTGTGGCTGCTGTGGGTACCTTCCTTGGCAGCCGCCGCTACGAACCTCCTCCTCCCAGCCACAAATAGCTTATTAACGCCTCACCCCTGGAACGTGCGGCTTTATGACTGTCTGCTGGGGCAGCCAGTCTAGATCCTGGTCCCTTGACTCATCCTGCCCTGTGGCCTTCTCTGGGCAGTGTCCAGTTCCAGATCAGCAGAAAGGGCCCTTTGCACCCAGGGAGCACCCTCCGGCATCAGCCCGGCACTTTTCTTAGCTGAACCGAGAACGGGGCAGCCGCGTCTGCCGTGGATCCGTGTGGCTGCATGGTGGAAGTCGCTGATGAAATGAAAATCCGCCTCCTAAGATTCCGGCTGCCTCTTTGGCTTAGAATCATGTTCCTTACACTTGTGAGGTCAGGCATGGTGTGGGCCAAGACTCACTCACTGCCCTGGCCCCTGGAAAGAGACCCCCGTGCTTTTTAGATGCAGACCTGGAAATCTTTGTTCTGGGTGTGGGGGGCGGGGCGGGAGAGACAGGGAGTCCCCCCCCCCCCAGCTTTGCCTCTCGGCTCTCTGTTGAAATCAGCTGCAAAGCCCCCGGTGCACAAACAAGATGGGGGTGCAGGTTGTTTTCCTCCGCCCCCCCCCCAAGTACGATGAACGCCAGTGTGATGCAGTGGTAAAAGGGAGGAGTCTGCACTGGGGTCTTGTGGTGACCAGGTGATCTTTGAGTTCATACGGTCTGTTTCTGAGCAGTAGTCAGGCTTTCCAGTAGCCACATTTTATGACTCCTGGGGAGACGCGTTTCATTATTAACCAGACTGATGCTCTAATATTAAAAGCAAACCAGCGGTGCCTGCCAAGACACTTGATCCGTTTTTTGGCGGGCTTGTTTGGCGAGCGCCTTTGCTGAAAGACCCTTTGGATTGGCTGCTTATGGAGATGGATGATTAGCCCATCGAGTAGCTGGATGATGATCTTTTCTCTCTAATGATATAGTTCCGTTCGTCGTGGCAGTGTGCCTGGGAGTCAAGTGCCATCAAGTGGCTTCTGACGTAAGGTGGCCCCATGAGTCAGTGTCCTCCCAAATGTCCTGTCATTAATTC